ATCAACAGACTCCCGAGGAATCCTGTAACTCTCCACCGATGGGTATGGAAGGGATGACATGGCCGTTCAATGGTGGAAGTGTGGTAGCGGGAATGGAGCAGTGAAAGTTGGGTTCAAGTCCTCGTTGGTGTACTTAACGAGCCGACCACATTCACACGGTTCTGGCGCCTATGTACTGCAACCTGCTCGCTAATTCCGAATGGCCCCATTCGGCTTAGACCAAGAACGTGTTTCGCACATGTGCACGTGACCCTTTCATTATCTGTAGGACCTCCGCAGCTTTGTGATCGGTGCCTGAATATAGGAGGTCGCAGTGGTGCCTAATGTTTTTGCATCACCTGATTGTTCTGGACCTCAAAGAGTGATGCATAGGAGCTCGTCTGAGCCTCATCATCCCTCCATTGACTGGACACATTATTTTGTCCTGTTGTACGCTCCCACAGAATATTTCATCTGAAACCCCACGTTATGCCATTATTGAAACATTTGTCTTTCCATTCTATTCCTTGTACTACTAGCGCCCATACTGGCGCCTGTCTTAGTGCTCACCTGCAGGTTGAACATTATGTAGCTTACATAATGGGGTCTGTGCGCACTTCATGCCTGATATCGTACCACTACGTTTCTTTCTTCACTAACACGACCACATAGACATGATGGTCCGTGCGCAGTCGGTACTTGTATAAGTAGTTGTACCATTAGTCGGTCGAACCCTAAGTTCGACCTGGTTATTCATTCAAGTCTCTGCTCCTCTTCGCTTGGGGTAGTGGTCATTCTCGACTTCCTCGCTCGATCTTCAGGACGACGCACTGTTCATAAGTCGTCGCTCGTCGTCTACAAGTCAGGCATCGATATAGGAGCATAGACCGTTGTATCAAAAGGTCGAACTTTCTAAGCTACGTTCCTAGTTTCACCTAGTCGAACAACTCATCCACCATCATGTCGAACAATGCAGTAAACCCGGTTCCCTTGGGACTACCAGCCCTCGCAGGATCTCCCCTTCTCCAGTACGACCGAGCAGACTGTTGCTTCGTCACCACCACAAGAAGGACTCCCATCTATCCTTGAGGCGGCTCCTGGGTTCGCGCAGAAGGCTCCAACCCGCAGATCGTCGCCCATCAACAGCTTGTCAGCTATTACCAGAGACACCCTCCCGCTCACCCAGAAGACGTATTCGCCACCCTACGAATCAACGTCGAACCAGCACAAACAACAGAGAACCTACAGTCACCTGTCAACAAACAACCGTTCGAGCTCCTGGACGTTCAGTACGTTCCCATCGAGGCTCCAGAACTACCACCAGCTCCACCTGCACCAACCAACACACCGGTTGAAGTCCCTATGGCAACGTTCACTCAAGCAGACATCGATCAGCGCATCGCTGTCGCCCTTGCAGCATACCAATCCCAACAGTCAACTGCCAACCGACCCCTTTGCCTTGACATCCCTGCTCCTGAACCTTTCAGCAGAAAGGCGGAGGACCTCAGATGCTTCATCCAATGCGTCCTCTCCTACTTCGTTGCCACCAACAACACCAGACTTAGCGATGAAGCAAAGATTGCCTTCACTGTAGCGTTGATGAGGAAGGACCTAGGGAAGACATGGGCAGACGCATACTATAAGAAGTTGGCAGGGGGAGTCCAGGTCTATCCCGATTGGGCAGCCTTCGCCACCGCCCTCGAGGAAGCATTTCCCGAGCACGGAACGCGAATCAAGGCACATCAAATCCTGATGAAACTGCCCAAACGACAGAAGAACAAGAAGACAGCGCTCTCCCTTGGAAACTATGTCGCCCGCTTTGAGCAGCTAGCGTCGAAAGCCCAGCTCAAGGACGCCGAAGTCAATGGCGTCAACCGCACCGAGAACGACTACCACACTCTCCACGCCAACTTCGTCAAGGGACTTCCAAAGGAGCTCTACGTCTCTCTCGCAACCAGGGTCGCTAGGGACCAACCCAGCACCATGAAAGCCTGGTACGACAAAGTCCGAAATGCCGATGCCTGTCGCGACTTGAGGTCTAGCGACAGGGGGAAAACCTAAAAGGAGCTGGGGGCGTTCGACTGATTCTCACCGAAGCGATGGTAAGCGGTGCTCAAACCTAAGGCTAGGGACAAGTAAATGTATTTAGTTAGTAAGGTAAGAAAAGGAATACAAAGGATGCTTACTGACCTAGGGACAAGAGGTCGAAACTGAGGTCCCTAGGGCAGCAGAGGCCGGCTTATATACAGGGGATGTTTAGGGGAGGCTGTGCGCGCTGGTCCGTGCGCAGCTGGTCCGTGTGCAGCATGCTGACGCAGCCCCGGGGGCCGGTGAGTCAGAGCGGCTGCATCAGCGGAGCCCGGGCTGTGCCGTGCACTGCTGTCCTATCTAATCTGATCGTACAGTAGATAACGTCGTGTCCATATCAGGCAGGTAGTACAGAGGTTGCGGGTTCGAGCCCGCGAAAAGGAAAAAATTAAAAAACGGCTAGACGCCGTACCAAGTCGTGACATTACCCCCCCCTCAACGGCGCATGACCTCATGCGAGGCGCCCTTGCCCATCTCCCACCCGGAGCGGCAGCGTGCTTCAGTCAGCGGCGAAGGCATCGGCTGGAAGTTGAGACCACCAAATGTAGCAGCATTGAGGCGGCGAGGGGCGTTCGGATTCTTTCGGTGGAAGTCGGCTTTGAGGGCCGGCGCATTGGCAACGTTGCGTGCCGGTTCCCATGACGTATGCGAATCGTCGTAACCCTTCCACTTGACAAGGTACTGCAATTGACGCCGGAAGATCCTCGAGTCCTTGATCCGCTCAACCTCGTACTCTTCGTCGCCCTCAACCTCGATCGCAGGCGGCTCCTCTGGCTCCCGGCCCGGGATATCGCTACGCATGTACTTGCTAAGCAAGGAGACATGGAACACCGGGTGCACCGGCACCGACTTCGGCAGGACTAATTCGTAATCCAAGTCTCCGAGCTTTCGCCGCACGGCATATGGTCCAAGGCACTTGGGACTGAGCTTCTTGCTCGGCTGTTTCAGCTTAAGGTTCCGGGCATCAAGCCAGACCTTGTCCCCCGGCGCAAAGACCGGTGCCTCTTGCACGTGCTTGTCGTAGTACACCTTCATGCGCTCGGCCGATAGCTCGAGCGCAGAGCGCGTGTCATCGCGAATCTCCTTCAGGATCTTGAGCCGATCAGCGGCCGCAGGCATTGCAGACATCGGATTGATCCGCACTTGGATCTCAGGATTGTACCCCTGATGCAGGAAGAATGGGGAGTGCCCAGTCGCGGAGTGAACTCGGTTGTTCAGTGCGAATTCCGCGAGCGGCAACTGTTTTGCCCAATCATCCTGCCTGTGGCTGGTGAAAGCGCGTAGGTACTGCTCGATTTCCTGATTCCAACGCTCAGTCTGGCCGTCCGTCTGAGGGTGGAACGCTGTGGACAGCGCCGGCTCGATCCCTAGTCCCTTGTATACCGCATGGAGATACTTTGAAGCGAACTGGGGACCTCGGTCTGATATGACCTTGGCCGGGGCCCCATGATGCTTGAACACATCGCGGATGTACAGGTCTGCCGCACCTTCTGCCGTCAGGGTCTCATGACAGGCTGAGAAGTGGACCAGCTTGGTAAAGCGGTCGGCGGTGACCAGGATCGAGTCGAATCCATCAGACTTTGGCAAGCCAACGATCATATCGGTCATGATGATCTGCCACAGGCGCTCGGGGATCTCATTCGGCTTCAGCGGACCCTGGGGCTTGGCTGGGAATGTCTTGGTACGGTTGCACACGTCGCAGGTGCTTACGTACTCATTGACAAACTTGGACATTCCCGGCCACCAGTAATTCCGCGATACGAGCTCAAGGGTTTTGGCACGACTGCCATGTCCGGCGATCGGCGAGTCATGGTGGATCTTGACTATATCCCGCCGGAGCTCTGCGTTCCTTGGGACGTACACACACCCGCGGAACAGCAGAAGCCCTTGTTCGGCATTCCACTCCTCAAAACCCCTTTGCAGCCGGGGCGGTCCGAGGTCCTGCACCTTTTCAAGTGCCTCGGCCACCTCCCGATCCTTCTCCGAACATTCCCTGATGCGCTTCAGAAGCGACTGATCAGCTGTTACTGAGGCATGACCGCGCCTGGCGGAGGCGATGCAGAAGCGCTCTGGCTTGAGAACTACTTGATTGGTGTTATCGTCCTCATCACCGATCTGATGGTCTGATCGGCGCGATAGGGCATCGGCCTTTCCGTTGGACGTCCCGGCCTTGTGTGTGATGCGGAAGTCGAAGCGAGCCAGGAACAGCGACCATTGCGCTTGACGACGCGTGAGGTGCTGGGACGTGCGCCAGTATTCGAGGTTCTTATGATCGGTTACGATCTCGAACTGATTGGGCAACCCCTCGAGATAGTGGCGCCAATCGTCTAGCGCCTCAATGATCGCGAGCATCTCCTTATCGTAGATCTCGTAGTTCCACTGTGCCGGATCCATCGCATGGGATCTGAAGGCAATAGGGTGCCATTTGCCATCATCCTGCTTCTGCATCAACACGCCGCCGGTGGCGTACCCTGAGGCATCGACTTCAATGCGCGTTTCCCGATTAGGGTCGTACAGCACTAAGACTGGAGTCGTTGCGAAGAGCCGCTTGAGCTCGTCGAAGGCGTGCTGCTCTTCCTCACCCCAATGCCACGGGTCATTCCCTGTGAGTCGGTCGAGTGGTCGCGAGATCTTAGCGAAGTCCTTGATGAAGCGGCGGTAGAAGTTGGAGAACCCCCGGAACTTCTGAACATCTTTTTTGTTCCGGGGTACTGGCCACTCATTAATTCCCTTCAGCTTCGCGGGATCCATCGCCACCTCATCGCCACCAAACACATAGCCGACGTAGTCGACCTTGGGAACGTCCCATTCACACTTCTCAGGCTTCAGGAACAGATCATTGTCCTGAAGGCGGCGCAGAACCTCGCGTGTGACCTTCTCATGCTCCTCTTTGTTGGTGGAGAAGATGAGTATATCGTCGAGGTACACAAGGATTTTGCCGCCGATGATGAGATCGTGGAAGATCTCGTTCATCATCGCCTGGAAGGTTGCGGGGGAGTTGGTGAGACCGAAGAACATCACCAAGGGCTCGTACAACCCTCGGTTAGTTACAAACGCCGCCTTCCACTCGTCACCGGCTTTGATCCGGACGTTGTTGTATCCCCATCGGACATCGAACTTTGTGAAGAGTGTAGCGCCGCGGAGCTTATCCACCATTTCGGCGATCAGCGGTAAGGGGTAATGATTCTTGACCGTGATTGCGTTCAATCGGCGGTAGTCCTGCACGGGTCGAAGTGTCCCTTCCTTCTTTTTGATGAAGAAGAAAGGCGACGAAATGGGTGATTTCGACTCCCGTATGTAGCCCTTCGCTAGCTGCTCCTTTAGGAACTTGTCCAGTTCCTCTTGTTCGTTGTTTGACAGGGGGTACACTTTCGAGTGAAACATCGAGTAGCCGGGCACGAGTTCGATCGCATGATCGTAAGGCTTCCTTTCGGGTAGCCGTTCTGATGCTTCCTTGGAGAAGACATTCAGGAACTCGTGGTACTGTTTAGGTACCGACTCCTCGGCAGTCTTAACGACCTTCTTTCTGATCTCCTCCTCAGCGAACAGCTGGGAGTACGTATGCCCCGCTGCGACGAATAGCTGAGGAGCGCCGGGAAGCGTGATGCCTTGTTCCCAGGCTTCGATCAAATCGGCCTCATCCCACTCTACTCCCGCTGGATCTTCTTCAGGTACGAAGTCCGGGAGTACCTTACTCCGGCAGGCGCCTATAACCGACCGTTTGGATTTCGGCGAACGCCTGCGCGCCGTGGGCCTGTCCCCCGTATCACGCGCAGTCGCTGCTTGCTCCATTCGGCCAGTCTTCCTGGCACTACACGTCTCAGGGCATCGGGATAACTTTAGGGAGCCTGACTCCCAGTCAATTTCAGGGTTGTGCTCTCGTAGCCAATCCAACCTGACGATCACATCCTCTGGACCTATGTCCGTGACCGTAAACACCGTCTTCTCGACGTGTTCTCCTATCTGCATCTGTAGCACGGCTACCTCCGAGATGCTTCCGTCTTTATTGAGCGTTCCATCGATATTGTAAAGCGGAATTGGCTCTTTCAATTTCCGCGTTCGTACTCGATTCTCCGTGATGAAACGCTTGTTGACGAACTTCGTAGTGGCTCCACTGTCCACCATTGCAACTATGTCCTTGTGCCGTCTTTCTCCTTTGAGGCGCACTGGGATGTGGAAATGCTGGGACCCGTGGTCCAATTCGTACACATTCGCAGTCACCAATACATTGTACAGATTATTATTACGCGGCCCAACGCGTGCGGCACGAAGCGCAGACCGGATCAAAAAGACTCCTCCTTCATTGCCCGATAGTGCTCGAGCTCCTCGCGCATCGACTTCATCTGTGCTATTAAGTCCGCCAGCTCGGAACTTTCCGATTTCGCTGAAGCGGCGCTTGTACTCGCCGAGGATGAAGCGACGGGGGCGCTTGTCGCCGCCTGGGTGGAACCCGAGGCAACCGTAGCCCGCACGTCGGCGCGTTTTGTGTAAGGTTTATCCTTACAGTTAGGGCACTCAAAACAATGGTACCCTTGCTTCCCGCAGCCAAAGCATGTGCCGGGGAAGTCTCCTTTTCCGACGGCCGCATTGATGCTGGCCGAAGCTGCGTGCGATGAGGGTGCACCACCGCGTGCCCCACCGCGACCTCGACCCCGGGCCGAGAAGAAGTTGTTCAACTCGGGCCGACGGGCCCGGCTGATGTCGAGGATCTGCTTGACCTCAGTGGCTCGCTTTTCAGCGGCTCGCCACGTGGTGAAGGTCTCGAGCTCGATCTTTCGATAGACGCGGGAGGGGATGCCGCTCAGGTACTTGTCGCGTAGCTCCAGGTCCCCATACCCAGAGCGATCCGCCGGACCCTTGAACAGCGCGGAGAACTCCGCAGCGGTGCGTTTCTCGTGGACCGACTTGTCCACGCAGAGCTTCGCCAGCTCCACTTGTGCTGCTGCCGCGTCGTCGAGATTACCGAAGCGAGCCTTGAAGGCAGTGGTGAAGGCCGCTTCGTTCCTGAAGGGGGTTGTAACCCCTTGCACACCCATCTGCACTGACGCGAGCTGGGCGAAATAAGGCGTGGCCCAGGCGCGGGCGTCGCCATCGAGCAGGCTCAGCGCAACCTGTACCTTGAGCTCAATGGTTGTCAACGACGTGTTGATCAGCCAATAGATACGTAGTTGCGACAGGAACCTGTCGCATTCGATGACGGTTTTGCCGTCATAGCAGAGGGGGAGAAGGAGCTTCAGGGTCTCCTTGTCGGGGGCAGTCGAGGGGGAAGACATTATCGGTGTCGGGGGGGACGGAGGACGCTGCGGGGGCAGAGGCGGCTGTGGTGGCCTTCCGCTGGTCGAACTTCGAGAGGAGCGAGTGCTCGAGCGGCCTCTCGGCGGAGTCGGCGGTGAAGGCGCCGAAGGAAGTTCGGCGGCGGGGTTACGTACGTCAGGGACTGCTGACGCAGGGGCAAGTGCTGTCGGCGAGGCGGACCCAACAGAATCCTCGGACTCGGACTCCGAGACTCCTTCTTCACTCTCACCCTCCTCAGGCTCAGGCTCTGGCGCAGGGTCTGGAGGGAGATCTCCTCGTGCTTGACCTGGATCAGCAATGACAGTTTGAGGGAGGCGAGAGCTAGGGGAGACAGGGCGAGAGTGCTGCGAGGCCGATCGAGATGCGAGGGTGCTTCGGGGTCCGAGCGGGTGTTGCGCTCGTCGGATCGCTTTGTAGCGTGGGTAGTCTTCTGCAATCGATCGGGGTGTTCGGTTCGGGCACGGTTGCTGCTCGCAACGGTAGATGATAGTCTCAGGACCGTCTGGGATGTAGACGTCGATGAGGTCCTGTGAGTCGAATGCGTGGACTTGGCCTTGGCAGGCAGCCACATTGGATGGGGGGAAGGAAGGGGAGGTGTGCGTACTACGAAAGGCCGTGCTATACTAGCTTACACCTACGGCGCCCGAGATGACACTGAGATTCACAGTTCACGTAGGGCCCAATACTGCTTTTGACTATTATGCAGCAGGAACCAAGGCTACGCGTCCGTGAGGACAAGTACCGCTCACTGAAGCGCAGGTACTGAAGAGTTCGTCTCTCTAGTGTTGGCGATGTATAGTAGGCTATCTACGTATTGTAGGGTACAGTAGGGGTGCGCACCACCCAACCTATGGGAAAGGAAAGTGAGTGTGTGGGGTTCCGAGGAATGCCGGCAGCTTTGTGGAGTTTCGACCTAATGTCGCGACTTGAGGTCTAGCGACAGGGGGAAAACCTAAAAGGAGCTGGGGGCGTTCGACTGATTCTCACCGAAGCGATGGTGAGCGGTGCTCAAACCTAAGGCTAGGGACAAGTAAATGTATTTAGTTAGTAAGGTAAGAAAAGGAATACAAAGGATGCTTACTGACCTAGGGACAAGAGGTCGAAACTGAGGTCCCTAGGGCAGCAGAGGCCGGCTTATATACAGGGGATGTTTAGGGGAGGCTGTGCGCGCTGGTCCGTGCGCAGCTGGTCCGTGTGCAGCATGCTGACGCAGCCCCGGGGGCCGGTGAGTCAGAGCGGCTGCATCAGCGGAGCCCGGGCTGTGCCGTGCACTGCTGTCCTATCTAATCTGATCGTACAGTAGATAACGTCGTGTCCATATCAGGCAGGTAGTACAGAGGTTGCGGGTTCGAGCCCGCGAAAAGGAAAAAATTAAAAAACGGCTAGACGCCGTACCAAGTCGTGACAATGCCGCTGAACAAGGGGCCCTCACCGTCACAGACACCAGGGACTATGGCGAGCCAATGGATATCGACGCCGCTGCAGTCGCGGCAACCTTTGCCTCCACATCGGGAGGAAGGAAGTGGGAACTAGGAGCAGTTCTCAATGAGGCCGACCGGAAGCTCCACAGGAACGGGAACCTGTGCTTCTACTGCCACATCAAGGGCCACAGCGCCAAGGATTGCCGCAAGAAAGCGGCCGCACGACAAGGGGGTGGGAGGCCAAACCAGGGAAGATCTGGGAAGGACGACTTCCACGCCAGAATCAAGGCACTCTTCGCGGACGAGAAGCGGGAGCTGTATGAAGAACTTACGATGGAGGATTTTTGAAGGGGCAGGGTGAGCCGACGCAACCACTGCCCGTATCCGTTTCACTGTCCCGTGTAATTCTAGTAGTCCGAAATGAACGCGCTCTGCACATTCCGATTACTGTGGGACAAAAAGACGTCGAGGCGCGCGCTTTCATTGATAGCGGCGCAACAGGAATCTTCATCAGCCCGAGATTCGTCCGAGAACATCGACTTTGGACAGAACCTCTTCCCCGACCCATCCCCGTCTTCAACATGGATGGAACCCCGAACAAAGAAGCACTCATCACGCGAAGAGCTCTCTTATCTTACAAGATAAGCGGAGAACCCCGATTCGTCAAAGCCTATGTCGCCAGCATCGGCAAGGAAGACATCATCTTCGGCCATACCTGGCTCAAGCTCGAAAACCCCAAGATAGACTGGAAAACCGGACGAGTGGAGCTGAACCACCGGTGGACAAGAGATGAGACCAGGGCCTGGAAGATGGACCTGTACCAAAGGCGAGTGGCCCGGCTAGAATTAAAGAAGGCCATAACCCCACTCCCGGAACCAACGGAGGATGAATTCGTCGTCGTACCCACCTCAGAGCACGCAACCCTTCCCGAATGAAAGACTAGCAGCGCAGCAGGATATGACATCTCGGCTGCGCATCAACTCATCATCCCTGCCCGACGACGAGGCCTAGTCGGCACTGACCTTATCATGGCTATCCCCAAAGGACACTACGGAAGAATTGCACCTCGATCCGGCCTAGCACTCAAGGAAATCGACGTCACTGCGGGAGTAATCGACTCTAATTACCGAGGCAAGGTCTCAGTCCTACTGGTCAACAACTCTGACCTCCCATTCACCGTCAAAGTCGGTGACCAAGTTGCTCAGCTCATCCTTGAAAGGATAAGCACCCCACTAGTAACTATAACCAACTGCATCGATGAAACTGAACGTGGGGAAGATGGGTTTGGGTCAACGGGTATTGCGTCCATCGAGGAACAAGCGGAGGACATCGACAATGATGAGTTCATCATTTCCTACTTATCTGGAGCACCAATGATCACCAAGTACAAGAAACAGGAACCCCTGGCAGTGAGGGATGTTCCGCTCAAGGAGCGACTCCCTGAACCCTCATCTGGCTACAAACGACATCACAACGGCATGATCTGGAAGGTCCACCACGACATTAGGCGCGTCACCACTTCCACCGAACTTGCAGCCTCGAACGCCCAAGGCAAGACAAAAAGAATGCTACCACAGATGGTACCATTCGACCTACATGATCTACTCCCCGTTTTCGACAAAGCCAAGGCTGCACGACTTCCAGACCACACTGAATATGACCACAAAATCAACCTCAAGGAGGGCTTCACGGACAGGAAGCAACAGGTCTATCCGCTCAACCCGCAGCAACGAAAGCAACTCGACAAGTTCCTCGAGGAGAACCTGAGTAAAGGGTACATTCGCCTTTTGAAATCCCCATTGGCGAGTCCATTCTTCTTTGTTGGTAAAAAGGACGGTTCACTACGTCCCTGTCAAGACTACTGGCTGCTCAACGAGAACACAGTCAAGGATCGATACCCGCTCCCACTTATATCTGACCTCCTGGACAAGTTGAAGCACGCCAAGCTGTTCACAAAGATGGATCTTCGCGCCGGATACAACAATGTCCGAATCAAAAAAGGAGACGAATGGAAGGCAGTGTTCATTGTACCCGGAACTGATGGCAAACCGCCGCAGCTGTACAAACCAACGGTGATGTTCTTTGGGCTGTGTAATTCTCCCGCCACGTTCCAGCGGATGATGAACACAATATTCACAGACATGCTTCAAGAAGGCTGGCTCTGCATTTACATGGACGACATCCTGATCTTTTCCCAGGACAAGGCAGAACATGAAGAACGAACACGATGTGTTATCAAACGACTTCAACAACACGACCTCTACCTCAAACCGGAGAAATGCGCCTTCGATGTCACGGAAGTCGAATTCCTCAGCATGATCATCCGTCCAGGAGAAATCGCAATGGACCCTGTCAAACTAGCTGGCATTGCGGATTGGCCGGTGCCGTCCAACCTCAGGCAAGTGCGCGCCTTCGTTGGATTTGGAAACTTTTACCACCGGTTTATCAAAGGCTTCTCGGACAAAGCGCAACTGCTGGTTGCTCTCACCCGGAAGGACGTTGCCTGGACCTGGGGATCTGAACAACAGAAAGCCTTCGAAACCCTCAAAAAGGTGTTCCTAGAGGAGCCGGTACTACGTATGCCGGATCCTGACTGACCCTTCTCCATTGAAACTGACGCCTCAAAGTTTGCCACCGGAGTGGTGCTACGCCAACACGATGATAACGGCGACTGGCATTCTTGTGGATACCTCTCTCAAAGCTTCAATGCGGCAGAGAGAAACTACGACATCTATGACAGAGAGTTATATGCGGTTATTCGCGCACTAGATGAGTGGAGGCACTACCTCATTGGCAGCCCATACCCAGTGACAATTCTCAGTGACCACAAGAACCTCACGTATTGGAAACAAGCTAAAGACATGAACCAACGACAAGCATGCTGGGCGAGTAAACTGACCGAGTTTGACTTCCGCCTGGTGCACATTCCTGGTACCCAAATGGTGCAGAGCGATGCTCTCTCCCGCCGACCCGACCATGATGACGGCTCAAATGACAACACTGACGTCGTTATGCTTCCACTGGAAGTATGGGTTGCTGCCATCGACATCGACACCCGCGACCCCATTCTTGCTTTCAAAGATGACCCAATAATGAAGGAAGGACTCACTATGGCGCGCACCGGAGGAGCACCATGCACTGGAACAGAATGGTCCATCGATGATGACCTCCTCTTATACCAGGATTGGGTCTATGTACCCCCAGATGAGTCTCTTCGCAAACGTCTTGTCTCCCACTATCACGACCTCCCCTCCGCAGGACACCCTGGTGTTTAGAAAACCCTCCTCGGCTTGCGCCGTGACTACTGGTAGCCGAGCATGGCCCAGTTTGTCGCTTGCTATGTTAACGGCTGTGGCATCTGCCAACAAATGAAGGTTAACATGCATCCAGCCTGACCGCCCATCACCCCCATTCGACCCCGCGCAAATGCCAAGCCCTTTAGCACATTCTCGTGCGATTACATCACCAACTTGCCACCATCCAACAGCTTTGATTCCATTTTGGTCATAGTGGACCACGACCTTACAAAGGGGGTAATTTTCATCCCATGCAACAAAACAATTGATGCTCTTGGGACGGCAGATGCAATGTACCGAGAGGTCTACAAGTGGTTTGGACTCCCAGACAAGATCATCAGTGACCGAGGACCGCAATTTGCGTCCAAAGTCTTCCAAGAACTGTGCAAAATGACTGGAGTTCAATCAGCCATGAGTACGGCATTCCATCCGCAAACCGACGGCGAGACAGAACGAGTGAACCAAGAGCTGGAGATCTACCTCCGCTGCTTCACTGCCAATGACCTGGATAAGTGGGCTGACCATCTTCACACCGCACAATTTGCTCACAACTCCCGCAAGCACTCCACGACAAAGGTGTCCCCATTCAAACTCATGATGGGATACAAACCTCGTGGAATACCCACCGTGCACCCCAGATCAAACACGCCCCAAGCAGCTTATCGCCTCAAGAACTTGCAAAACATCCGCGAAGAAGCACATGTGGCAATGGAGATGGCCCAGAACGTCCTGGCCAAGAGAGTAAAAAGGAAGGGGGGTTCCTTCCGTAAAGGTCAGCTGGTATGGCTAGACTCCCAGAACTTGAAGCTGCTGTACCCGTCCAGGAAACTAGCCCCGAGGCAAGAAGGGCCGTTCAAAGTCCTAGATAATATTGGAACAGTCGCATACAAGCTAGACTTGCCTAGCACCTGGCGAGTCCACCCCGTTTTCCACGAATGGCTTCTATCTCCCTACTTGGAGACGGAGATCCATGGTCCGAACTACACGAGGCCACCCCCTGACCTTATCAAAGGCGAAGATAACTACGAAGTCGAAGCCATCATCAGACACCGAGAGAACAAGAGGATGCGACACCGTGAATACTGCGTCAGGTGGAAGGGTTACTTAACAGCCGATGACTCATGGGAGCCCGAAGCGAACCTGACTAGGACGGCTGATGAAGTGTTGGCAGAGTATAAGAACAGGAAGGACTTGAGCTAAATCGATAGCAGCTCTACCCAGTCGCTACTTCCCCACTCGCACCAACATGTCTTCCACCCTCTCGTTCCTCGACCAGTTCAATGCCCCCTCGACCAAAGGCGGGAAAAGGCTCTCAATCTACACCCCTAAGCACACCCACGTTGGCGACAGCACCTTGCTGACGCTCCTTCTCAGTAATCCCACCAACGTTTTCAACAAGCTCAAAGCCCACAACCCCGAGGCAACCAATGCCACCGACCGCGCTGCACTAGAGGCGTATCTCTCCGCCCGCTGCGAATACGACGAGGCTGTCAAGGCAGCCGACGAGGCCATCGACCACCACAAGCGGCTCCTACGCCAACAGGACGACCGCGTCCTCACCGAGCTCATCCGGCTCAACAATCTGAAAGTCGCCCATCGCTTTCAACCGCTGATAGGTGCCAAGCCCCTCTGGGCCCCGATTCACCTCTTTTCGGCAGTCGCATCCCGCCCGGCACTTCGACTCAGTCTCCCAACACTTTGATTTCGCCTTCGACACTCTTCAGCACCTTCGACGGTGCACAACGCCTACTCAAAGCTCGACACAGTCGTCTCGATGCCTCGCGCGTAGATCCCGGGACATCTTCCGCATTCGGCGAACAATAGGGCCACTTGACGCCGCTCAGCCAAAGCGCGCGCTTCGCTACATGCCACACCGATGTAGCCGGTCTTTCCCGATTAGGTATCGAACCTCGCGGCATGCCTTCACGACGGCTACCGGTCCGAAGTGTCTCGCATGGTTCTCTCCATCTCCACGTTCGGCATGATGTCACTCTACCGATGGACTTGGTATGTGCCCCTCGGTGAGGCAGCTTCTTGAGGAACAATGCAAAGCCCCTTGTACCAGTGTGCCACTTTCGATAGTCATAGTGTCCTGTGTAGTATAAAATCTGTCATACTTCTCTCTAAAAATACAAGATCTGGTTCCCCCCTCGAGTTCAGAGCTCATAAGTCGAGTTCGCCCCGCGTCTAAGCCTTGAACTGCGTCACTTCGTCCCTCACTGCATAACCTCGAAATCTCGTCCACTGCATTTACTCATCGATACTGTCTCGACAAACCCTTCGACTTCGACTATTGTCGAAGAAACTGCGAACCGCGCCCTAGCTAAGTCCACCCTTCGAGTCATGTCCCTTCCTTCTACGATACATCGAAGAGCTCTGCCGAGCTTCGATCATCTCCGCTAACCACCCACAGCCTCCGAATAGCTTCGACGACGTGTCGAAGCCACCTCGTACCTTCCCCATCGTTTGTAGCCTTTTCCAAGGGCGTTTTTGGTGTTCACTCGAACCGCGGGACACCTTGCTGCTAACTCCCCTCTCACTAAGACTATAATCCGTCTCTCTAGTCCCTTTAGGTTGCACCCAGGTTAGGGGTTAGGGTTTCGTAGGTCGTATCATTTCTGGAGCCCACTGCGAGGGGATCTCAGGCAAGAATTCGCCGCTTTTGGGTTTCCAAAAACGTCTCCAGTAGTCACCCGCTCGCAAGCGCGTGAGGCTGCTAGCCGCAGCGCCGCCGAGAACCTCGACAGCTCCTCTAGAACGCAATCGACTCCCTCTCCAACCATTCCTGGTAACTTCGACCACGACAAAGAAAACGAGATAGACCAAGAACTCCAGGATGACTTCGACGAAGAACCAATCCCTTCGACTGCCGAAGAACGCACGTCGTCCCCCGAGCTTCTAGGCCTCACTACTTCCGACTACGACATTTCAACTCCTGATCTTTTCAAACAATCCAGTTCTTCGCCCGAACCCGAGGATCCCATCCCATCTACTTCGAATCTCGGACTCCTGACTCTGTCTTCTTTTCGTGCCCACGCACAGCCATCCATCGCATCCTCTTCACAACTCTCAGTCATACCTACATCCGAACTGGCACCTCCGCCACCCTTGGCACCTTCGAACGCAGCTTCGAACTCCAACCCCGCACCGCCCGCACCTACGATTCCTTCAACTACTACCTTGTCCTCTTCAAGCCCAGCTCCTACTAACACTACAAACATGAGTCAGAACACGAACACACCATTGATGCCCCTGCACGGTCATTCGACGGCACCAAGCTTCGACCTGTCGGAAGTCTGCTCACTTTGGCGTTACTTCCAGGACCTCGAGGCATTGTTCACCCGGTGTCAGATTACCGACGAAGCAGCCAAGAAACAGTGGGCCGTTCGGTACCCTTCGATCGACGTCACTGACTTATGGGAAACCATCGAGTCCTTCATCGACGTAGCCAAGAGCTACAACGACTGGAAAGCTGACGTACAAGCACTCTATCCTGGTGCCGACGATACAAGAAAGTGGTCGCTGGCGGACATGGATCAGCTCATTGGAGAGCACGCTCGTATCGGGATTCACAACGCGGCAGACCTAGGCTGCTATTACCGCGACTTCATGGCCATTACAAAACATCTCATCGCACAGCACCGACTCTCCACTATCGAACAAAGTCGCACATTTCTTTGAGGATTCTAGCCAGCGTTGCTCACACGGCTCGAGACCCAACTACACCTCAAGCACCCCGATCACTACGCCGACGACCCATACACCATGGCAGAGATTCACGCTGCGGCTACTTTCATTCTACACGGCACATCAAGCACACCTACGACAGCGGCGAACCAAGCTATCGCTTCGACATCGAACACTTCGACAACGGTGCCCCCCGGGATGATCAAGACCGAAGACATCTTGATGATCATCGAAAGCCTGTCGAGGACGATTGCGACACTTATTCAGCCGACAACGCATGCTACACACAACCACGCCCCCGCACCGAGACAACAAGCTGCCGTCCATGTCCACGAGAACAGCGGAGTGGAACAGATGTGCCACTACTGCGGCAATCATGGCTGCAGGGTAGGCACCTGCGAGTTCGCGGAGATCGACATTCGGGACGGCAAGTGCAAACGGAACACCGAAGGCAAGATCGTCCTTCCAAACAGAAGTTTCTGCCCCCGCACTATCCCTGGTCTCACAATACGAGATCGAATCTACAAGTGGCATAGAAGAAATTCCACAGCACCCGCCACTCTGACGATGCTCTTCGAGATCGACGATCGCTCGACTGTGCAAACATTTGCGCTCAACACCAGCAGCAGGATCGAGGCGCTCGAACGAGAACTCCTTCAGCTTCGGAAGTGAAGGGAGGTCTTCGACGGTGTCGAGATTCTACAGCGGAAGAAGCCTACGACGCCCGCCATCCCGAAGAGTGCGGAAGCCTCGGGATCTGGTACGTCGAAAGGAGTGGCGGCACCCTCGAGCACTTCGACAAACACGGCCCCCCCTCCGACGATACCAGCAGCAGCACCCGCGCCGTCTTCCTCCTCGCCTACGCAATCCACGTCTCATCCTATTACTACGTCCGCTCCCCCAGCACCACCAGTACACCCCTTCGCAAACGCTCGCGACGCAACCTACGCCCCACCGAATGTTCGAAACTTCGCAACTCCGCTGAAACCCTCGAACGACAAGGGCAAGGAACCAGCGTACAAGACCATCGTCCCTGTTATCCAGCCGAAGCTCGCCGAGGAAATCTTCCAGCGTTCAATGAAGTCGCAGTTCATCACGCTGACCCCAGAAGAGCTGCTGTCGATCGCGCCTGACGTTCGAACCAAGTACCGCGACGCCGTCACCCCTAAGCGAGTCTCGACGGAACCCGTTGCGTCGGCCCACATCGTAGAAATCGGCACCAACAAGGTGACGGCCGTCAACCAGCTCACGCAGAGTGTCATCAAGAATTTCGCCGACGAGAACCAGACCATTACGATCCTCTGTCCGAACACCGGCGAAACCGTCACAATTCCGACGTACGCGCGAGGAAGATCGCAAAGCCGGCAGCATCCTCTCGGGTGTCGCAAATCGCATTTTCTCGCTTTGAGGAATTGATTCCCCATGATCAAGGAGAAGCCGCGCTAGTCACCGACTATGATGGGGTAGAACCAAGTATTTCCTTCGTCTCTCCGATTGATTCCTCGACTCCGAATGCTGTTTCGTCACTGTACCTCTCCACATGCACCTCCATTTCTTCATATTTGCAGTCTCTTTACGCCTCAGACAGTACAGCTTCTAATGCCGCTCCGTCAAACGCTTCAATGTGGGCTTTGACTCTTCTATTCTCAGCTCCATTTGCTTCGACTCCGCCAGCTCCCGTTCCGACGAAGTCCATCTCACAGTTCTCCAACTCAATTCTTCCCTTTCCTTCGACAACATCGACTTCTACCCCCTCAACGCACAAGATCCTCGCCGCGACAAAGAAGAAATACAAGCCTATCGCTCTCAAAACCCGACCCGTCCTTGGTGCCGTCCCCGAACAATTTCGAATACTTCGAGACATGAAGGGCAACCCTCTCTCCATCATGCCTAAGCTTTCGACCGACCCCCCACCGTTCAAACCTACCGGTCGGTACACCCTCGAACACTTCGAAGCAACCGATAAGCTTCACGATGGCGACTTCCTACTTCCCGAAGAGTGTCGAGTCCTCCACCACTTCATGTGCTTGCACAACGAAGCCTTCACATGGACTGACGACGAGCGCGGATGCTTCAAGCCCGAGTACTTCCCTCCCATCAATTTCCCCGTCGTTCCTCACACGCCCTGGGTGCAGAAGAATATTCCCATTCCGCCCGGGATCTACAACGAAGTCTGCGCGGTGATCAATCAAAAGATCGCCGCCAGAGTCTACAAGCCATCGAACTTGTCGTATCGATCACGGTGGTTCTGTGTCGTCAAGAAGGACGGTAAATCTCTTCGACTAGTCCATTCCCTCGAGCCCCTCAATGCAGTCACGATCCAACATTCCTGTCATGACTTGGTACGGCGTCTAGCCGTTTTTTAATTTTTTCCTTTTTGCGGGCTCGAACCCGCGACCTCTGTACTACATGCCTGATATGGACGCGTCGTTATCTACTGTACGATCAAGATTAGATAGGACGGCAGTGCACGGCACAGCTCGGGCTCCGCTGACACAGCCGCTCTGACTCACCGGCCCCCAGGGCCGCGTCAGCATGCTGCGCACGGACCAGCTGCGCACAGACCAGTGCGCACAGCCTGCCCTTATCTCCCCATGTATATAAGCCGGCCTCTGCTGCCCTAGGGACCTCAGTTTCGACCTCTTGTCCCTAGGTCAGTAAGCCTCCCTTTGTATCTTTTCCTTACTTCACTAACTAATACATTTACTTGTCCCTAGCCTTAGGTTTGAGCGTTGCTCACCATCGCTTCGGTAAGATCTAGTCGGATGCCCCCAGCCTTCCAGTTTTCTCTAGTCGCTTGACCTCAAGTCGCGATATTAGGTCGAAACTCCCCAAGCTGCCGGCGTCCCCTCGGGACCCCTTATATTCACTTTCCTTTCCCATAGGTCGGGTGGTGCGCACCCCTACGGTACATTACGATACGTAGATAGCGTACATACATCGCCACCACTTAGGGAACAAAATCTTCAGTACCTGCACTTCAGTGGGCGATACTTGTCCTCACGGACGCGGGGACTAGGTTCCTGCTGCATAATAGTCAAAAGCAGTACTGGGCCCCACGTGAACTGCGAACCCTATTGTCTTCTCGGGCGCCGTAGCGTAAGCTAGTATAGCACGGCCATTGTAGTACGCGCACCTCCTCGTCCTCCCCCCATCCATCGTGGCTGCCTGTCAAGGCCAGGTTCACGCCTTCGACTCGCAAGATCTCATTGACGTCTACATCCCAGACGGCCCTGAGACTGTCCTCTATCGTTGCGAGCAGCAGCCGTGCCCAAATCGGACACCCCGATCGATCGAGGAGGATTACCCTCGTTACAAGGCCATCTGACGAGCGCAACATCCGCTCGGTCCCCGCAGCACCCTCACGTCTCGATCTGCCTCACGGCATTCCTGCCCTGTCTCCCCCAACTCCCGACTTCCTCAAACTGTCGTCGCCGGCCCAAGTGAAGTACGAGAAGATCTCCCTCCAGACCCTGCGCCAGAGCCTGAGCCTGAGGAGGGTGCAGGTGAAGAAGGAGTCTCGGAGTCCGAGTCCGAGAATTCTGTTGGGTCCGCCTCGCCGACAGTGCTCACCCCCACGTCAGCAGTCCCTGACGTATGTAACCCCCCCACCGAACTTTCTCCGGTGCCTTCACCGCCGACTCCGCCGAGAGGCCACTCGAGCACTCGCTCCTCTCGAAGTTCGACCAGCGGAGGGCCACCACAGATGCCTCTGCCCCCGCAACGTCCTCTGTCCCCCCCGACGCCGATAATGTCGTCCCCTGCAGCCGCCCCCGATAAGGAGACTTTGAAACTCCTCCTCCCGCTCCGATACGATGGCAAGACCGTCATCGAATGCAACCGGTTCCTGTCACAGCTGCGCATTTACTGGCTGGTCAACACGTCGTTGACTACCATCGAGCTCAAAGTACAGGTTGCGCTCAGCCTACTGGACGGTGATGCCCGCACCTGGGCCACCCCCTACTTTGCCCAACTCGCATCGGTGCAGGTGGGGGTGCAAGGGGCCATGACCCCGTTCGCAAATGAAGTGGCCTTTGCCGCCGCCTTCAGGGCCCGCTTCGGAAATCTCGACGACGAGGCGGCAGCACAAGTAGAGCTGGCGAAGCTCTGCGCGGACAAGTCGGTCCGCAAAAAACACACTGCCGCGGAATTCTCCGCGCTGTTCAAGGGTCCGGCGGACCGTTCCGGGTATGGGGACCTGGAACTACGCGACAAGTACCTGAGCGGCATCCCCTCCCGCGTCTACCAGAAGATCGAGCTCGAGACCTTCACCACATGGCAAGAAGCTGAAAAGCGCGCCACCGAGGTCGAGCAGATCCTCGACATCAGCCGGGCCCGTCGGCCCGAACTAAATAACTTCTTCTCGGCCCAAGGTCGAGAACGCGGTGGGGCACGTGGTGGTGCACCCCAGTCACACGGAACTTCGGCTAGCATCAATGCGGCCGTCGGAAAAGGAAACTTCCCCGGCACCTGCTTCGGCTGTGGGAAGCAAGGGTACCGACGCTTCGAGTGCCCCAATTGTAAGGACAAACCTTACACAAAATGCGCCGACGCGTGGGCTACGGTTGCCTCGGGCTCCACCCAGGCTGCGACAAGCGCCCCCGTCACGACAACACCCTCGGCAAGTATAAGTGCCGCTTCAGCGAAATCCGAGCAATCAGAGCTGGCGGACTTAATGGCACAGGTGAAGTCGATGCGCGAGGAGCTTGAGCACTATCGGGCAATGAAGGAGGAATCTTTTTGATCCGGTCCGCGCTTCGTGCCGCACAGGTCGGACCGTGTAATAATAATCTGTACAATGTATTGGCGACCGCAAATGTGTACAAATTGGACCATGGGTCCCAGCATTTCCACATCCCGGTGCGCCTTGAAGGAGAAAGACGGCACAAAGATATAGTTGCAATGGTGGACAGCGGAGCCACCACGAAGTTTATCAATAAGCGATTCATTGAAGAAAATAAGGTGCAAACGCGGAAATTAAAAGAGCCGATTCCGCTGTACAATATCGACGGCACCCTAAACAAAGACGGAAGCATCTCGGAAGTAGCAGTACTACAGATGCACATAGGAGAACACGTCGAGAAGACGGTGTTCACGGTCACGGACATAGGTCCAGAGGATGTGATCGTTGGGTTGGATTGGCTGTGAGAGCACAACCCTGAAATCAATTGGGAGTCAGGCTCCCTGAAATTATCACGATGCCCTGAGACGTGTAGTGCCAGGAAGACTGGCCAAATGGAGCAAGCAGCGACTGCGCGTGATACGGGGGGCAGGCCCACGGTGTGCAGGCGTTTGCCGAAGTCCAAACGGTCGGTCATAGGCGCCTGCCGGAGCAAGGTGCTCCCGGACTTTGAACCCAAAGAAGATTCGGCAGAAGTAGAATGGGATGAGGCCGACTTGATCGAAGCCTGGGAGCAGGGTGTCACGCTTCCCGGCGCTCCTCAGCTGTTCATCGCAGCAGGGCACACGTATTCCCAGCTGTTCGCTGAAGAAGAGATCAAAAAGAAGGTCATTAAGACCGCCGAGGAGTCGGTGCCTAAACAGTACCACGAGTTCCTGAATGTCTTCTCCAAGGAAGCATCAGAACGGTTACCCGAAAGGAAGCCTTATGATCATGCGATCGAACTCGTGCCCAGCTACTCGACGTTCCACTCAAAAGTGTATCCCCTGTCAAACAACGAACAAGAGGAACTGGACAAGTTCCTAAAGGAGCAGCTAGCGAAGGGCTACATACGGGAGTCGAAATCACCCATTTCGTCCCCCTTCTTCTTCATCAAAAAGAAGGAAGGGACGCTTCGACCCGTGCAGGACTACCGCCGCTTGAATGCTATCACGGTCAAAAATCGCTACCCTTTGCCGCTGATCGCTGAGATGGTAGATAAGCTCCGCGGTGCCATGCTTTTCACAAAGTTCGATGTCCGATGGGGATACAACAACGTCCGGATCAAAGCCGGTGACGAATGGAAGGCGGCCTTTGTGACTAACCGGGGACTGTACGAACCCCTGGTGATGTTCTTTGGCCTCACCAATTCCCCCGCGACCTTCCAAGCAATGATGAACGAGATCTTCCACGATCTCATCGTCGGTGGCAAGGTCCTCGTGTACCTAGATGACATCCTCATCTTCTCCACCAACAAGGAGGAGCATGAAAAGGTCACACGCAAGGTGCTGCACCGCCTTCAGGACAATGATCTGTTCCTGAAGCCTGAGAAGTGTAAATGGAACGTTCCCAAAGTCGACTACGTCGGCTATGTGTTCGGTG